GGTCCCTTCCAACCCAAACCACTCCATGACTCTGTGGTCCTGTGTATCAGACTGTTAATGAAACATCAGGCCCTGTGCAGTGCTATATTGCACTGCCCCTTCCCTCCCTGCAGCCTCTGATCATCCAGGGCCATTCTCATCCCCACAAACCTCCAGGGAAAAGCTGTGCCGAGGGCAGGTGGTACTGCAGAGCTGGAAGTTTTGTTGACTCCTTCTCCCAGCTCAAGCCATACCTTTTGTCTGTGAGAAATGCTTAAAGACAGGGATTAAATTGCTGTGTGCCAGCAGAATTTGGTAGCAGGATCTCTGCTCCTTTGCAGATGGTGCCTTGGTGAACGAGCTCTACAGTTTGCTTCGTGACCAGGATCCTATTGTGGTTGTGAACTGTCTGAGGGCCTTGGAAGAGATCTTGAAGAAGGAGGGAGGAGTTGTCATCAACAAACCCATTGCCCATCATCTCCTCAACAGGTTTGTTTTCTTTCATATCAGTGCTGGAAGCTTCATTCTTGTCCTTGTGTTTTCTGTGCAGAGCAGGTGTTTGTGCAGAGGATCGAAGGGAAGAGTCAGGAGCCCAGAGATGGAGATGCTCATCCTAAGAGCAACTAAATCACTTTTAGGCTAAGATCTTAAGAGAAATCTGGTGTACTCTGCTTTTCCAGGGAGTCTTTTCTTCAGCTGGTGGCTTGGTTTGGCATTGTGGGTTAATAGGATTAGTTTTTTGGGTACATGTGGTATATTTGTGGGACAGGTATGTTCTGAGCGTGTCTCTCCAGATCCATTGGAAGATACATAAGTTTCCCACTGCTTGAAGAAATTGACTTTTTCAGCAGATAATTCTACATGATCTGGGTAAAGTGGGGTATTGCTTTGCCCAGGGTTCTTGTCAGTGTTGCTGTCTGGCTTAGAGCACAGCAGAAGTGCAGTGACTGACACTGAGTTAATAACTGGGCAATGTTCTTGAGATAAAACTCTGGTATCCACTTGATTTGGAACAGAGACTGTAAGAAACTCGGAGGCTGAGACCTCTACTCTGCACAGCACAGATCTTCCTGCATTCCCTGACTTCTGCACTGTTCTCCTGGCAGGATGCCTGACCTGGATCAGTGGGGGCAGAGCGAGGTGCTCACCTTCCTCCTGCGCTACAGACCCCGCAGCGAGGAGGAGCTCTTCGACATCCTCAACCTACTGGATGGCTATCTCAAAAGCAGCAGCACCAGCGTTGTGATGGCAGCCACCAAGCTTTTCCTGGTGCTGGCCAGGGACTACCCACACGTGCAGGCAGATGTTTTGGTGCGAGTGAAGGGCCCACTGCTGTCTGCCTGCACCTCAGAGAGCAGAGAGCTCTGCTTCACCGCGCTCTGCCACGTGCGCCAGATCCTCAGGAGCCTGCCCGGCCACTTCAGCAGCCACTACAAAAAGTTCTTCTGCTCCTACTCAGAGCCTCACTACATCAAATGCCAGAAGATGGAGGTGTTGTGTGAGCTGGTGAATGATGAGAACGTGCAGCAGGTGCTGGAGGAGCTGAAGGGTTACTGCACTGATGTGTCGGTGGAGCTTGCCCAAGGAGCCATCTCTGCCATTGGTAAGGGCTGTGCCTTGCCTTGGCAGCAGCTGCAGCCCTGAACTTTTGGGGTGGGCTGTTCTTTGCTGAAGTGTATCTGGGCAAGCACCAAATCCCTGATCTGTGCTGCAGCAGTACAGACAGAGCCTCCCCAGGAGTGTTTTGTGTTGGTGTGTTTCTAAACCACGACTGGGCTGGTTCTTTCAGAACTCCTGGCATTGAGCTGCTTTGGGTTGTGCAGAAAGTCCTTGAACCTCTTGCTCTGATGAGATGCTCTACAAAAAAACGTGTCATTTCATCTTATTTGTCAGCTTTGTAGTGTTGAATGAAGCCGTGTAGTGGGTGGAGGAGCTCTCATACCTGCTTGTTCTTTTGAGTTGGGAGGGGAACAGAGTTAAGGGGGTTTTGGAGTGCTTTGGTTTTGGTTTTGTAAGCTTTAAAATAGGTGAGTTTTTACAGTATTCATAAGGAGAAAGCTGGGGATGCTAGAATGCTTTTTCTAATGTATTACATTTAAGGAAAGTTAAGAAACCTGAGGCATGGCCTCAAAAGGGTACATGTCCCTTGAGTGGAGAACAAGCTCTCTGACCACTTTCAGAATGGTAGTCAGGAAGGAAAAGAGAAAGACTGTTTCTTCAAGTGAGTTTATGATGAATATTTATGCTCGTGGTTCCCATTTCACTCTGATAAAAGCTTGTCCTTTGGTGTTCCTGCAGGCAATATTGCCAGGACATACACAGATCAGTGTGTGGGAATTCTGACAGAGCTCCTGGGCCTTCAGCAGGAATCAGGTAACAACCTGCCTGCGTGGCTTATGCTGTCAGGAATTGGCCTTGCAGGGATTTGTGATCCTAAACTAAAGGCTTTTAATTTAATTGGCATCTTCAGGTGGAAGTTCCCCTGCTGGGTTTAGGGATATAAAGTGTGTTCCTTCCATAACATCTGCTCTTTGTGGTGGAGGAAGAGATGGGTCATGGTCCTTTCTGGGTGCCACCTGCTGAATTTGAGAGTAAGGGACACAGCAGAGACATTGTAATGCCTGTTTGAAGGCCAAGATGATTAATAGATCCTTTAAATTCTGTTCCTCATTTAATAGTCTGATTCAATTGTACCCAGACTTCTTTTTCCCTTGGGCTGCCCTCAGATCTACCTTCACATCACTGCTGTTCCTGCTGTTCTCTTTTGACTGGTCTTGCTTTCAGTTTTGAAAACCACACAGTTGCACACAGCTGTTGAATTAGATCTCAGGAGCTGCTGGTGTTTCTGTGAGTGGGCAGCAGAACCTTTCAAATCATGTTCATGAGACACGTTTTGAATCGGGGTTAGATTTAATTTGCCATTCTAACCTTGTGTGTCTGAAGCATCATGAGTCAATGTCTTTTTTAAGGCTGGGAATGTCCAGAAGAGACACTGCTATCCAGCAGCCAGAGGAACAACCTGAAGCCTCAGTGCTTTATTTTAGACTTGCTGCAGCTTTGCTCTGACAAATACAGTGTCATGGGACTTTGATGAAAGGTGTCTCAGATCATAGTCACAAGGAGGGCACTGACCTTGGCTGAACACTGACTCCTGGCTGAGATTTGCAGAGTCTGTTGTGTTGGGGGAGTTGGAATGATTTTTTTTTTCCCCTAGAGGTTGTTTTATCTCTCAGGAGTGCTGATGACTTGGTTTCCTTGCAGCGGTGGTCCGAGCTTTCCGGGACCTGGCGTGGCTGTGCCCCCAGTGCACAGATGCTGTGTGCCAGGCACTGCCTGGCTGTGAGGACACCATCCAGGACAGTGAGGTAAGGTGGCAGTGGTTGAGGATGGGTGGACAAAAACAGTTGGGCCTTCATTTGGCTTGAGACTGGGGGCAAAGATCAGAAATCTTCAGACTTGTTCTCTCAACCTATTTCATGCCAACACCATCTTTCTAGTTCTCAGCACCTATTTGCTGTTTTTCCTGTGGTTCCTTCAGGGCAAGCAAGCACTGATCTGGCTCCTGGGCACACATGGGGAGAAGGTCCCGAATGCTCCCTATGTTTTGGAGGACTTTGTGGAGAATGTGAAGTCAGAGATGTGCCCAGCAGTGAAGATGGAGCTCCTGACAGCACTGGTGAGACTGTTCCTGTCTCGCCCTGCTGAGTGTCAGGACATGCTGGGCAGGCTGCTCCACTACTGCATAGGTGAGTTCTCTATGTTCTCTTTCCACTCAAGCTGTGGTCAGGCTTCTGGGGACCTGGTTAGGCTGTGTCCCCAGTGCATGGATGCTGTGTTAGCATCCTGGCCCTGAGCAGACCAGCCAAGATGGCAGGGTAAGGTGGCTTTGTGCCTCAGGCTGCTGCTTGGCCCCTGGCAGTCTGGTTGGTGAGTGTAAAATCATAGAACCATAGAATCACAGATTGGTTTGGGTTGGAAGAGACCTTAAAGCTCATCTCATCGCACCTGCCATGGTCAGGGACACTTTCCACTAGCCCAGGTTGCTCCAAGCCCCATCCAGCCTGGTCTGGAACACTTCCAGGGATGGAGCAGCCACAGCTTCTCTGGACAACCTGTGCCAGTGCCTCAGCTCTCCCTGAGTAAAGAATTTCTTCCCAATATCCCATCTGTCCCTGCCCTCTGGCAGTGGGTAGCCATTCCTACTGTCCTGGCACTATCTGCCCATAAACAGGCTTACATTGTATCCCTCAAAATCTGTTTTTAGCAATTAAGGGTTAGTATTTGAGGAAATCTGGCTGGTAGAATTGCCCATAAGTTATGTCTCTCTGATCCCCAGAGGAGGAGATGGACATGGCAGTACGAGACCGTGGATTGTTCTACTATCGCCTTCTGCAGTCTGGGGTGGAAGAAGTGAAACGAGTCCTGTGTAGCCCCAAGTCTGACCCCTCCCTGGGGCTCCTGGGAGACCAAACCAAGCAACCTGTGAATGCATGGGCTTTGGAGTTCAATACTCTTGCCCCAGTGTATGGCAGAGAACGCTGGGCCCTTGCCACTGCTCACCAGCCAGTGGAAACCTCTTACTCTTCTTGTGCTGACTCCAGGAGCAGAGACACAGGTAACCTGCCCCACCTGCCTCTGGCATCCATTGTCCCCTTGTCAGTGTATCATTGAATTGTGGAATCACAGAATGGTTTGGGTTGGAAGGACCTTAAAGCTCATCCCATCCCACCCCTGCCATGGGCAGGGACACCTTCCACCAGTCCAGGTTGCTCCAAGCCCTGTCCAACCTGGCTTTGAACACGTCCAGGGATGGGACATTAACAATCTGCCTGGGCAACCAAGATGTTTTCACATGGGTTTGTTTGGAAGGTCACAGTGCTTTGGGAATGCTGAGTTAGTGTTCTGACTCCCCTATGCAGTGCATGGCTGATCACCCCCTCACCAGCGCAGGGGATGCTGCTGAGGGTGCTGTGATTCCAACCTTCCCGTGCCAGTTCTGTGGGGTGTGCCTGGTGAAACTGGGAGCTGCATTTCACATGTTTGTGTTTTCATTTCAGAGTCACTGATTTCTGAAGGAAATAAAGAAGTCCTCAAGGTTCATCCAGATACAGGCAGCCTGACCTTGATTCCTGATGTTTTCCTGACTGCAGAACAGTTTGAGAAGACCTGGCTGAGCTTGGACACGAGCTGCCAGCTCTCTCTGCCCTGGTCTGGGCCTGTCCACCCAGACACCATACAGACAGCCCTTCATGTTGTCCACATCCAGACCATTGCCATGAGCAAAGCTGGTGCCCAGCCCTGGAAAGCTTATCTGAGTGCTCAGGACGACACAGGCTGCCTCTTCCTAACAGAGCTCTTGCTTGAGGCAGCAGATTCTGAGCTGCAGCTTTCAGTGAAGCAGAGTGAGACAAAGCCAGAGGCTCTGCAGACCTTCATCTCAGCGTTGAGGACAGTCCTAGAGGCAGTGGCTGGTCTAGGATCTTGAGAGGTTCCTGTTCCCAGCAGGATGCCTGCTCAGAGCACAGGAAAAGTTGATTTCTCTGGCTTCATTTGCCATGTCTGATGCTGGTTTGGTTATTTTAAACTGCAGGAGTGTTGGCAGCTCTTTCCTGGGCCTGTAGTGTGGGGGTAGCTGCAGCTGGAGCTGGTGAATGGGGCAGGGTGAAGGGTCTGCCCTCCCTCTGGGCTGGGGAAAGGACAAGGTCATGCTGGCATGAGCCTGCTGCTTCTGCTGTGAGTCACAGAAGTGGTGGCATCAGTGCTGGTTGTCATGAGACACGAACGTCACTGCTGGAGCCAGAAATGGGCAGAACTCAGGGATGTGTTTTGGAAAGGTTTTTATCCTGAGAGTTATAAATGATTCAAGAACAGTTCAGAGGCTCCAGGACTCTGTTACTTAGAGTAAGGGGAACAGTGCAGCGAGAAGAGAATATTTTGTTCTTGGCTCCATTTACATGTGATTTAGTTTTCTGTCTGATAGAAGGATTTTGATAGTGGCTTCACTTGGGGGTGAGCAGAGGTGTGACAAGTGCATCCTGCTCATTAGAACCAGCACATTTCAGTCTCAAGACAAACTGAAATGTGTTCCTGAGGTCATGAATTGCCCTCTCTGAAGTTCCCTCTCAGCTCCCTGTGCTGTTGCCATACTGAAGAGGCTTCTTGGCGTGAGGCTGATGCACAGAGGTTAATCTGCCAGGGCTTTGTGGGGCTCTGTAAAGAGCACAGCTGCTTTAACCCTCTCCTGTAAGATTTCTTCCCATTTTTAACTTATTTTATGGCTGTATTGCACCTTCAGATCACAGTATGCCTCCCAGGCACTTCACTGCGACGCTGCTGTCACTGTTCAACAGGTTTTAGATTGTACTTGTGATGCTCCTAATAAAAATGTGAATCATTCTTGACTGATTTCTGGAGTATTTGTTCCTTCAGCTCTCAGGTCTGTGGGTGGAGTGATGTGATCACTGGATCCAGACAGATTTGCAGTCCAGCTCCTGCCTCTGTGTCCGACACAGCTTTTCTCTCTCAGCTTCCCTGAAGCAAAGCTTAAAGGAGGAAATGTGCAATAAATAGTCTCATATGCCAAAGGGCTGCAATGGGTGAACTCTGTGCAGGTGAACCCAAAAGAGTTTGAAAGAGATTCTGTATCCCTACAAGCAAAAATGAATAAAATTTGTTGCTAGTAATTTGTTTTCCTTGAGTTTCTCTTAAATTTAGCCATAAACTTGCTTCACTTTTAGTCAAGGTCTCTAGGTTAGTGCTTAGTGCTGCGTCTCAGCAGATGAATATTTGCTTGAAATATTTCCATTAGTTATTCTAAAGATCATCTGTTCCTCTCAGGTGATTCAGAGGTTTATTTCTGCAAAATTAGCATTTGATATTTTAAACTGAGAGGGCTTAGCAGCCGTTTGCCTTTGAGCAGAATACAGAAGTCCTGGAGCTATTCCATACCTGATGTGCAAGAGAACACAGAAGGGACATGTTGGATGGCCCTGGTTAGAGTCAGAGAGAGAATCAGACTTGGTACGGGGAGTGAAGCCTTTCTGCAGCACATGAGGTGTGGGAAATAGGAAGGCTGGGATTCCCATGCTTTTTAGGAGTTGTTTTGTTTGAGAGTTGTTTGCTTTAGTTTAATTTTGTTTAGTCTTTTGCACTTTTGCAAGGAGAGGAAATGGATGAACTTCCTGAATTATCCTCTCTACCTCCTCCTCCACCTGGGAATGACCTCTGCCTTGCCCAAGGGGTTCTTAGAGTACCTCCAAGTGTTACAGAGTGAGTGAGGTGAATCAGGCTGGTGTCATTAATGTGGATTCTGTCATCTACTAGAGTCAGATTTGTCTCTCTCTCCCAGCACAAACACCAGATGTGGGGAATGGTGGCTGGAAGAGTTGGCCTGACACAGGCCAATACTTTGCTCAGAACCTGTCACACAGTCCAGGTCAGTAACATCTGCAGCAGGTTCAGGTGTCACCATCTGCCTGACTGATTCCTTCAAAATATTTTGCAGTTGATGTGGAAAACTGGTTAAAACTTCCATCCCTGGGAGTGTTCCAGGCCAGGTTGGACAGGGCTTGGAGCAACTGTGCAAGTGGAAGGTGTCCCTGCCCATGGTAGGGGCGAGTGGAAGGTGTCCCTACCCATGGTAGGGGGTGGAACTGGATGAGCTTTAAGGTCCCTCCAACCCAAACCATCTGGGACTCGAAGTTAAAAGTGTGAAGGGAAACTGTGGGTTCTCCATGCTATTTTAGAGGACTGTTCTAGTTGCAGCACACTCCAAATCTGAAGCCTTCCCAGTGAAGTGCATCCCCCTGGGATGTGAGTGCTCCACAGCTGCTCCTTCTCAGGACCTCCAGCAGTGATAACTGGACATGGTGCTTCAGGAACGGGATGATATGGTGCTTGGCCTGCTCTCCAACATCTCACCAGCTTTGTGGTGTGGTTCACAGCAGAGTCAGACCCTCTGGAGACACCCAGAGCAGCTGCACTCCATGCACGGAGCTCCTGCCCCGCTCCGTGCTGCCCACCCTGCTGCCAGGCCCATGCTGAGCCTGTGTGGTTTCAAAAGGAGGCACCAGGGCCTTGAGCCCTGTGTTTTGTTTTGGTATTTGACCACGGTGTTGCGTACGAGTTTCCTTCAAGGCTTGTGATGAAGTCAGTAAACCACAGCTGCCGCCGGCGCTTGGCGCCGCTGCCTTCCGCCCCACACGCACTTGTCATGTCCCTTCCCAGCAGGGTCAGACCAGGAGTGCTCTGTCTCCAGCAGCATGGACCAAAGGGAGATTCTGCTAGGAAACCTGCAAAAGGCCCAAGATAAGAAGCTCAACCCAGGAGAGTTCACAGAAGAGTTTTTGGTAAGTTCGCTCAAGCCTCAGCTCAGCGTTTCAGGGAACTTCTCGGGCACTTCTCAAACTGGGATGAGATTTGTGTGGGACAGTAAGATTTTCTAGGAGTTGTGTAAGAAAAAGACACCCAGGAGTTAACTGGGGTAAAAGGAATGTAAAGACAGAAGAGGAATGTAATAGTTTGCATTGAAACCTTGGGTTTCTAACTAATTGCCCCAGAGCTTCCTGTTTTCTGCATTTTTAATGCCCTTGTCAAGCCACAGTTTCACTTTGCCTGGTAACAGAACTGGGGGTAAAGGGAGAAATGTGGAGCCTCTGGCCCTGGTGACACAACTGGGGGTACAGGGAGGTATACAGAGCCTCTTCTGCTTCTCCCCATTGCAATCTGTTATAGCTGTGACACGTGTCCCTCTCAGGGACCTCCACTTGCTCCTCAACTTGGCTTTGCTTCTTTCAATAGAGTTCAGATTATCCAGAGCAGCTGTGGCAGCTCCATCCCTGGGAGTGTTCCAGGCCAGGCTGGATGGAGCTTGGAGCAACCTGGGCTGGTGGAATGTGTCCTGACCATGGCAGAGGGTGGGATGGGATGAGCTTTAAGGTCCTTCCAACCAAACCATTCTGGGATCTATGTCCAGCAGTGCTCCTGGTCCCTCCTGGAAACTACTTTCTTGCTCCCTCAAGGCAAAACCTGCAAAAAGTGCTGATGGCTCCTACCACCCCTTGCATTCTGCAGTGCCCAGCTGGTTGAGATCTGTGCACTGCCTGCTCTGTGAGCTCTCTGACAGCTTTTCTTTGCTTAGGTGCTGAGGCTGAGTCTGACAGCAACACACCATCTCACACCTAAAGCTGCTGCCTGACGATGGCTCTTGATGTATCAGCTGGAGGGGGGAGGCTCTGACAGGCTGTCTGGGCTGCTCTGAGAGGACAAGACATTGCCCAGCTTTACCAGAGACAGGGAAGGGTAAAACTGATACCTCTGTGAGATCTGAGGTGTGTCCAACACCAGACCAAGCCCTGGCCCCAGCGATGGGCTCTGCGGAAGGCACAGGGTTACTGACGTGTCCCCAGCCAAGCCTGGCACTTCAAACACTTGGGAAAAGCTGAGTGCTTGGTTTCCAGGTGTCTGGGGTGGAGGGAAGTGATTAATCTGAGCCTGCAGTGACAGTGTGTTGTTCCATGGAACAAAGTGCTCTCGCAGGCAGCTGAATTTCCCCTCTTGCTGCTGAGCTGTGCTGCGTGTGCAGGCCAAGGGCTCCCAGCCCTGGGGCATGGGCTGGCTCCAGCAGCCACAGGGTTTCATTTCTGGCCAAAACGACAGGTAGAAGTGGGGAAGGCTTCATTTCCTCTTGTATGGGATGAGATCTTCCAGCCGTTTTTGCAAAGTAGAAGCTTTACCAGGCGATCAATGCGGTTTGCGCTTCCAAACCTGATAGAAATGTTCAGTGCCATTTCTCTATTCTAATTCCTCCTTTTGCCTTCTGTGACCAAACATTTGGGCAGGCAAATGGTGTTACTGTAAATGATGAGTTTTGTCATGTTACTGTAAATGATGAGTTTTGTCAGAGTCTCATTTTTCTGCCTGTGTAATCTCACAGCTGGAGTTGGATCCTTACTGCTCTGCTCCCTGGAGCAGCTCCCCAGGGCAGTGGTCACTGTCCCAAGCCTGACAGAGCTCAAGGAGTGTCTGGACAATGGTCTGAGGCACAGGGTGGGATTTGGGGTCTGTGTTGAGCAGGGCCAGAAGTTGGACTCATTGATCCTTGTGGGTCCCTTTCAGCTTGAGATGTTCTATGATTCCATGATTTACTTTCTCATACATAGCATTTCCCAAGCAGTTTGATGTCAGATTATTCAGGGACAGAAAAGTAAAATGATTCAGGGCCTCAGCTCTGAGGAGACTGGCTACAGTGTGGAGTGAGGCTCCTTCCATGAAAGCTTGGAGGTTGGGGTTGCACTGGAAGGAGGCAAAGGAGGATGAGACCAACACCAGAATTGCTCAGAAGGTTACAGAATTGTGAAGTCTACAAATCTCACCCTGCTCCCACAACTTCTGTCCCTCTGTGCCTGCCCCCCATGTTCTGAATTAATAGAGACTGGACATGTGGACTGTCCTGAGCCTCCTGTACCTTCTCCCTGACTCATTCCTTCAGGAGGTATTGTATAATTCCATTCCTGGGGTATTGTACCATTCCATTTCTAGGGTATTGTGGCTGAATTTAGGGTTTAAAAGCTGCAGTTTAATATTAAAAAATATTAAAAACCAGCAACTCTGACTGGGACAAAAAAAAATATGGAAGAAAAAACACAACAAGGATTGTCCTTCTGAAGCTGATGTTAATGAACTGTGTGTGTTATTTAGAAGCTGATGTCAGTGAAATAAAATTCTACGCTTTGGCAGCAAAAAGATTCTTCAGCTCTCAGTGAGTGATGTAGCTGGAACTGAGAGAGATGAGAGATTCACAGCCCTGAGGGTCTGTCCCAGGACTCCTTGTCCCTTCTCTTTCATCAGTGCATGCAGCTTCTCTGCTCTGATTGCTTGTGCTCCCTGAGTGGCTCAAGCATTGCTGCTTGCAGCTATGGATGGAATCATCTTTGCCAAAGCTAGAAAAATGAGTTGTTTTATCTGTCTTGTCTGGTATTGGTTGGTAAAGGTGGTTTAACATTGTCACTGCTCTTATCTGGGTGCCATTTATGCTGGGGATGATTCTCCTGTGTCTTGAGGGTGATGGCTTGTGTCACTTCAGAAGACAACGTGTGGGCACCCCCTCAGCACACACTTTCCATTCTTCAGGGGCCTGAGCTGGGGCTCTCAGGTGGTTCTGTCTCTAGTCTTGCTCTGAGAACCTTGAGAAAAAACACACAGGAAAGAGCTAATGGTGCTGACCTTGCTTTGTGGTGGCAGCCTGACCCCTCGAGACCTTCACGTGTGCTCTCTAGTACTGTACTGGATGGAGCACAGTCTGCTGTAATTTCTTTCATTCTTTTATCACAGAAGCTGAAAAGGCAGTCAACAAAGTACAGATCGGATAAAATCTACCCTACAGCAGCGGCTGAGCAACCAGAGAACATCAAGAAGAACAGATACAAGGACATCCTACCCTGTAGGTTGGAAATGGCACATATATTTAGCCTTTTTTTTCCTAGCCTGAGTCTGTTCTCATCCTCCAGTATCTGCCTGCACAGTTGCTGTGTGTCAGCATCTGCTCTCTGTTGGCCTTGAATCCTGCTGTTCAGATTTAGAGCTTTGGTTGCTGACAGATTTTGGCACATGTCAATGCTTTAAGGCACATGGTGGGATTTTGGGGTTGTCGTGTGTAGGGGCAGAATTTGGATTCAATGATCCTTGTGGGTCCCTTCCAGCTCAGGATATTCTATGATATTTTCTACAGACAGAAGAATTTCTGTGGGTCCCTTCCAGCTCAGAATATTCTATGATATTTTCTATAGACAGAAGAATTTCTATTCACTAGGAAACACATCCCTCAATGATTATACTTGCAAGTTTTCTGCTTGAAAACATTGAAACCACTTGTTTTCCAAGGCCTTGTAGTGAATGGCTTTGGACAAAGACGTCTTCATGATGTACAAAGCAAACTAGAGGCAAAACCTGTTGTGGCTTGATGTGGTGGTCTCCAAAGGACAGTCTGTCCCTGGATCAGAGCAGACTGTCCCTTTCATCCATCCTAGATTGGAAAAAAAATAAATCATAGAATCATTAAGGTTGGAAAAGGCCTCCAAGATCAAGTCCAACCTTCAAACCTTTGAATCTAACCCCACAGAGCTGGTTTGAGTCTATAATTTAGGCAGAATATTGGGTGATTTGAGGCTTGGCTTGCTGCATGGTCAGAGGGGATCAGCATTGCACTGGGGTAGTGGCATCACCAGCAGCTCTTGCCTAAGCCTTCACCCCCACTCTGAAAGGAGCTTGTCCATCCCCTGTGCACACGTAGGCAGCAGCAGCAGCTCTGAGCAGGTCTGCCAGGAGGTGTGGAGAGGACATCAGCTCCTTGCACAGCCACTCACCTACCCTGGGGTGAGCTCTCTGATGTGTGTATTCCTCCAAAGCACCTTGTGCTGCACTCTGAGGAGCTCAGTGACCATGAAATACAGACACTGACCACTGCTTTTGTCCCTGCAGTTGACCACAGCAGAGTGGAGTTGTCCATGATCACATCAGACACAGATTCTCATTACATCAATGCCAACTTCATCAAGGTATTGCCTCTCTCGTGGCATTTTGCCCTGCTAAGGTTGTTGTGGTGCCACCTTGTTGAGTTGTGCCAGGAGGGGCAGGTTTGGGGTGAAGGAAAGGACTGGGCAGTAGTTTCTGGGATGTGCCCAGGGATAAGTGATGTAAGAAGATGTGCACAACCAGTGAGCCCCCCCAAAAAAACCCTGTGCAGCACAGAGGCAACAGGCTACAGGGCAAGGGACATGCGCTCAGGCTGGGGTGGAACAGTTTGTGGTTCACAGCCCTGACTTCCTTATCGGTGTTGCTGCCTTTGGTGGGTGACAGTGGTGCAAAATTGCCTGTGGCCAGAGTCGCCTTGGCTGAAACCAGTGCAGAGACAGGAAACCTTGCACTGCACCACGGCTCAGACCCACTGCAGGGTGAGCAACGGGCCAGGTCAGCATGGGCTGGTTCTCCAGCAGGAGTTCTGTGTGTTTTGGGATTTTCCAGTGCTCACACTCCTTCCCTGATTGACTGATAGATGGATGGATGGGTGGATAGATAGGTTTCCTTCATTCTCCATGTGACCCAGGGCTCTGTGCAACTCATCTGTAGAACAGACCATCACAACAGGATCATGGTTCATTCTTTGGCTGAGACGTGCCAAGCTGCACACTGCAGAGCTGCATCAGCTGTGGTTCCAGCACTTCCAACCTTGAAAAATGCACTGCAAGAACTGGTGGTCCCTGTGAGCAGATCTCAGCTCAAACCCAGCTCCCTGGTTTGGGGAGGTTTGCACACCATTGCTTGATTTAATGTAGGTGCCTAAAATTCACCTGCATAAAAGTTCTTCTAAATCCTTAATGGGCTCATTGAATAGAAGTAAATTCAGAGAGAGGAATGACTTTATTTCTGCTAGTGAACCATGCACAGATGTCTCCATGTCTGGTTTGAATGTTCTAGGGTGTCTATGGGCCAAGAGCATACATTGCAACCCAAGGTCCTCTCCCCACTACTGTCGTTGACTTTTGGAGGATGCTTTGGGAGTACAAAGTCATGGTAAGGTGCAGATTTATATGTAGTTTTGTTTTACTAAAGAAAAGTTGCCCATAGGTCCAGTTAGAAGTCCTTTGTGAGTAAGCAGAGTGGGAGTGTGAGGGTTTAGCTCCAGGTCCCTCCCATCAGCCTCTGCTGTGCTCGTGCCAAGTCAGGATCTGTTGGTGGCTGTCTCTGCCTTTGGGCTCTGGCTTGGAAGGTCCTCACACCTGGGCTGTGGGTGATGTTCCCAGTTTGACCTCCCTGGCAGTCAGGGCCTGGGGGAAGGCTGAAAAGTACCCACCAGTGATGAGGTTGATTTTGCTCCCTGGATAAGACACTTGTGTTCAGACTTCTCTAATGAACCTTCTTTCTGCAGGTCGTGGTCATGGCTTGTATGGAGTTCGAAATGGGGAAGGTGAGTAGCATGGCTGAGTTGGTCTCTGCTGTGGCAGTGCCAGAACAGGGTGAGAGTTGCAGGTTGTTATTAAATCTCATTAGTGACAGTGAATTTCTGTTTGATACGAGATGTTTCCTGAGCTGGAAATGGTCTAGTGGAAGGTGTCCCTGCACATGGCAGGAGTTTGGAATGAGATGAGCTTTAAGATTCATATGTTGAATCCTGTGCTCAGTTCTGGGCCCCTCAGCTCAGGAGGGACATTGAGGGGCTGGAGCAGGTCCAGAGAAGAGCAATGAGGCTGGTGAAGGGATTGGAGCACAAGTGCCATGAGGAGAGGCTGAGGGAGCTGGGGGTGTTCAGCCTGGAGAAGAGGAGGCTCAGGGGAGACCTTCTCACCCTCTGCAACTCCCTGACAGGAGGTTGGAGTCAGGTGGGGGTTGGTCTCTTCTCCCAGGCAACCAGCAGCAGGACAAGAGGGCACAGACTCAAGCTCTGCCAGGGGAGGGTTAGGTTGGAGATTAGGAAGAGATTTTTTAGGGAGAGAGTGCTCAGGCATTGGAATGTGCTGCCCAGGGAGGTGGTGGATTCCCCATCCCTGGAGGTTTTCAAGCTGAGACTGGATGTGGCACTTAGTGCCGTGGTCTGGTGACCACAGTAGGGTTGGACTTGATGATCTTTGAGGTTGATTCTATGATTCTCTGCTGCATCCCAAACTCTCCCAACTCTTAAGCTGCTTTTCTTAGCGCAGACAGCTTTTCAGGAAAGGGAAAACCAGCAGTGGTGGCTCCAGGGAAGGGGAGGCCGGAGCTGCCAACAGCTAGAGCTGAGCCTCTTCCCAGCAGGAGCTTTGTCCTGAAAAGTGAAGCAGGAGACAGCACAGCTGATCCAGTGGGGAATAACCAAACATATCCTACTTCTCCCAACAGAAGAAGTGTGAGCGGTACTGGGCGGAGGTGGATGGTTCCCCCCTGCACTGTGGCCCTTTCTCCATCACCTGTGTGAGTGCAGCCACCACAGCACCATGTCCCATCCCCTGCTCTGGAATCCTGTGGCATCCACAGAAAATGTGATTCTGACTTCTTGTTCTGCAGGCAGCTGAGGAGAAAAGAAATGAGTATGTGATTAGGACTTTAAAGGTGACCCTGAACAAGGTAAGTGGGAAAGGTCAAGGCAGAAAATGTATCTGGGCTGGTTTTATAACAGTGTATTAAAATGTGGTAGATTTTGTGCAGAAAAGTTTACACTGCTCAGGCTGCTGGTTTAGATTTGAGGGAACAAAGAATTAATTAACTCAAACCTCAATTTCTGAAGCTGTTTGTCAGCCACAGCAAATCAAACCCTGGGCAAGTGAGGCCAAAAGATAACATCAAGATCGTCATAAAATGGCAAAGCTGATTCTGCAGCAAAATCAGCTGCAAACTGCATCTCTGCCCTTTGCCTATGGGTGCAGATGAGACTTGGAGATGTCTGCAGCAATGCAACTTCCCTTGCTGTGCTGCCATCCCAGTCTGTGCCCGTGGGAGCTGCAGCAGCATCCCCTTGGAGGCACAGGCTGCTCCACACCCTGCCAGAGTTCTTCTCCTCCTGTAGGAAATCCGTACCATCCACCAGTTCCACTACAAAAACTGGCCAGACCACCACGTCCCCTCATCCATTGACCCCATCCTGGAGCTCATCAGGGAGATTCGCTGCTACCAGCTGGATGACAGTGTCCCTGTCTGCATCCACTGCAGGTGAGTGAGTGGCCACAGTGGGTGGCCAAGTTCACAGCCAAGCTCTTCTCATAGGAAGCCCTAAAGCAAACAGGTCCTCTGAGGACAGCTAGCATGGCCAGGTGACAGGGAAGGAGACAGGCAGCAGCAGACCAGCAATAGAATCATAGAATCATGGAATTGTTTAGGTTGGAAAAGACCTTTAAGATGGATGGAATCCAGCCAGTAACCCAGCACTGCTAAGGCCACCACTAAACCATGTCACCAAGTGCCACATCTACATGTCTTTTAAATGGTGACTCCACCACTGCCCTGCACAGCCTGTGCCAGGGCTGGGCAACCCTTTTGGTAAAGAAATTTTCCCTGATATGATATCCTATCTTCTCCTTGAGGCTGTTTCTTCTTGTTCTATCTCTTGTTATATGGGAGAAGAGACCAACCCTCACCTGACTCCAACCTCCTTTCAGAGAGTTGTAGAGAGCAATAAGGTCTAGTTAAGAGACAACCAGCACTAGGCATGTCCATGTGTGGCTGATCACCACAGGAGCACTGAGAACTGGATCCAGGGCACAGTTGCTATCTTCTCCTTGAGGCTGTTTCTTCTTGTTCTATCTCTTGTTATATGGGAGAAGAGACCAACCCTCACCTGACTCCAACCTCCTTTCAGAGAGTTGTAGAGAGCAATAAGGTCTAGTTAAGAGACAACCAGCACTAGGCATGTCCATGTGTGGCTGATCACCACAGGAGCACTGAGAACTGGATCCAGGGCACAGTTGCAGTAGAGCTGGGGCAGGTGGAGCCCAACGTGGAGCAAAGCTGCAGTAGGGACGTCGTGTGGGTTTGCACCTTCTGCTGTGTGGGACAGGAGGGTCACAGTTGGCTGTGGATCATCAAATATCCTGCTCAGAAAACACAGTGTGCTCACCCTCTGACTCCCTAGCAACCTGCTGTGGCTGTCATTGCAGTGCTGGCTGTGGGAGGACAGGAGTCATCTGCACCCTCGACTACACCCAGAAGCTGCTGAAGGATGGGGTGAGTGCCAGGCCCGTGGCACCTTCGGGTGGCACCTGCTTCCCTCTGTCTCTCCCTCACCTTCTCTCTCCTTTTCACCCCTTCTATCTGCTGTTTCAGAGCACAGCTGGGAATGGGAGCTCTCCACAGTCTGATGGGATAATAGAAGTGGCCAAACTGCTGCTAGTCCATTGCCAGTCTGTGCTGCTTCTGTCTCTTTAGGCACTGCCATTGCTCCTTCCCCATCACACCCATGGGTCAGAATCCCCTCTATTGCTCCAGAATCCCCTCCATTGCTCCCCCTGGCCAGACCCTCAGCTCGTGGTGCTTGGCTCTGCACTGACCTTCACTCTTCAGTGCAACTTTACTGTCTCTATTTGTCTCTCTGCACTGACACATCAGATCCTCAGCATTTCCAAACTAACACCTTGTTTCACTCTGTCTCTCCAAAGAGGATGCACGGGCAGTAATCCCTGGCCTCAGGGCAGGTTGCTGGGATTTTGAGGAGAGGCTGCTGCATTCTGTTCCACAGCTCCCTGAGCTCATCCATCTGGGAAATCAGTGTGTCCTTCATGCTACCCACAGCTGTGACCAGTGCTGCTCTAGAAAGAGTATTTCCTGTGGAGTGTGAGACAGGAGGGAGGAGGCAAGCTGCTTCCTAACAAAAAATAGCTCTTGAAGCAGGTTCTTTGTTAAAAATTCTTGCCATAGCAGGTCTGGATTTCAGGCACTGGTCTAAACTGAGTAAGGACTTGGAAAATGCTTAGAATTAGACCTGTCTGGAGTTTTATCAGAGAAATCATAGAAATCATGGAGAGGTTTGAGTTGGAAGGGACCTTAAAGGTCATTTCATTCCACCCCCTGCCATGGGCAGAAATACCTTCCACTAAGTTGCTCCAAGCCCCATCCAACCTGGCCTGGAACACTCCTAGGGATGGAGCAGCCACAGCTTCTCTGGGCAACCTGTGCCAGTGTCTCAGCACCTCACAGGGAAGAATTTAATCCTAACAACTAATCTAAAACTCTCCTCTCTTAGTTTAAAACCATTTCATCTTCTCTCTTTCTTGCAAGATTCTTCCAATGAACTTCAGCATTTTCAGCCTGATCCAGGAAATGCGAACACAAAGGCCTTGCATAGTGCAGACCAAGGTATGTGTGGGACATGGCACCAGCTGGTCTATTCCCCATCCTGGAGCTCAGCTTTCTCCCCAGTTCACAGTAAGGGAACCCAGAGCACTTGTGCTGTGGGAGTTGGGGTGTGGAGATGTTCTGCCCAGTCCCTTTTCTGAACAGGACACTGATGTTGCAGAAATTCACTGGGTACTGACCATTTCCTCACAGACAGCTGGGACAGCTTTGTGCTTGCACTGTGATTTATTCAATGCTTACACTGTGAAACCAGGGACTCTCCAGGAAATAAAGTGGGAACTTTTCTCAGCTGAGACAGACTGAAGAGGAAGCTCAATGCAGAAATCACTGTTTGTGCACCCAAAAAAAAAAACCCCAAATGCTTCTGAATCCTGTGAAAGTCGTGGCTTCTGCCTCTTCTAAGCATTCACACCCTGACAATGGACTGGGAAAAGCCACTTCTCTCAGGGGGGATGCTTATTTTGGGAAGAGGTGACGGTTCACAGGTGCCACAGGTGCTTTCTCTCATGTGTTGTTTGTCTGGAATGCAGGAGCAGTATGAGCTGGTTTATGACGCAGTGATTGAGCTCTTCAAAAGGCAGATTAAAGCACTCGATGCCCAGAAAGATTCTGCTGCTTCCCAGGTAAAAATCCCAGGATAAGCACACTCCCTCTCACACCCTGGGGCACACCAGCTCTGACCTC